CAGAATAAAATCTATAAAAGTATTTTATTTATTTATTTAATATAAATTAATTTTTAAATATAAACCAAAAAACAAATCAAATATTGAAACAGTTGATCTAAAGAGCCTTTCATTTATAGTAAACATTTTAAAATGCCTAGCTTGTCTGAAATAACTACTGCTGAATCTGAATATGTATCCAACTTTGTCTGGAGTAATAGCAACTGAATCTAATATAATATCCAACTTATCGCAAATGCAAAAATAAAATAGTAATATTAATATATATTTTCTGTTATTGCACATTATTATGCAATCATTCATAACCAAAATCAAAAACTTATCGAATCAGCCAAATAATCATTCAGTCAATTTTTTACTAGATGTCTCAAAATTTATGAGAACAGCTGTAATATGAACATGTGAAGTGATATTGATATTTGGTAGTTATAATTCTGAAAATGGTAGACTCATTTTAGCTGTGATTAGTGTGCTATCAAAACTAAAATGAAATATGCTTCCAGAAATTGTGATAATATTGTACTGAGAGATAACTGTAAGTAGTTACTTATATAGCTTAGTACTGGCTGGCAGTTTCCCATCTGTATAATGCTGGCTAGCCATCAGTATAAACATGTGTTATTGATATTTGTATTTATATAGCAGTTGAATCTGTGTGGCTTAGCACTAACAAGCCTGTATAATGCAGGCCGGCCATCAATATCAGCATGTAATATTGATATTATGAAAATAGTCAGATTCTTTTGGGAGTAAGGAAGGGAGAGTTGGTTGTGAATTGTGGTCTGTTGTAGTTGAGTGAACAATCATTGGCATAAGGCCTAAAAAAATGAAATTTTTTTTCAAAAAAAAATTGAAAAGCTAATTCTTAGCAAATTAAAAGGTTGAAGGCCATCTATCTATTATATTAATGCAGACTAACTACAGTATCTAGACACATCACAGCACTTTTGGTAGGCTCTAGATGATTTTTATTAAAATTTTTCCCATTACTCAGCTTATAATTTCCAGTTTTTATAAATTCTAAGAAAGCTAAAAATTTCTCAAAAATCAAATTGATGAGTATTTAAGCTACTGAGTTAAAATAAACAAAATTTATTATTTCAGTTATTGACAATTTTTTTGTGCTTAGAATTTATGAAAACAGCATAACTCAAATTATAGTGGAAATCATCTATATAGTAAGAACTGGAGCTGCTTGACTTGGGATGCTTAACCAGATTTGAAATCAATTATAAATCAATAATATATTATTACCAGAATAATTCAGTCTATATAATACTGTGTAGAAATTTTCCATAGTTTCTAGCCAAATTATGTTAGTCAAAATTACATTAATATTGACCAGATTTAAATAGTTAAATGGTTAATATGAATAAATAGTCAAACTGCTGAAAGATTTTATGTGATTCAATCTCTACTATTAGTGGTCATACCTGGTTAACATTTAATCTAAAAGGTTAAAACTTTTAATAAAATCTAATAACTTGTATATAACCTATCAAAGAAGGTAACCAGATATAACCTCTATAAAAAATGAGTAGCTATATAATTTATTTCTTAAATTATAAATATTTTATATAAGCTTCTACAAAAGCATTAGCATAATTTTATGACTAGATTATAATAATGATTATGCATTTAGATAAGTTTTTATACAGTCGATACTGTTTAATTGTATGCCATCCATCAGAGACTTTTTCATGCATATAGACAGTATATGCATTTAAGTTATAAGAACCAGTTTTGTGTTAATAGTTAAAAGCCAAAATTTTTTATACAGTTAGAGAGTATATGCAATTAGACAGCATGCAATTAGACAGTATCAACTGTACAATAGAATCTAATTCAAGGCATTTGATCAGGTCTTATAAAGAAAATTCAATTGCACAGTAATTTGTGATTCCTCTTACTTCCCTGACAATTATTTCACTAACAGGTCATTTAGTTAACATCATGTCAGCAAACCCCTAATATATAATGCTAACTAAATCTGAATAATTGTTAGTGAAGCAAAAAATCTTCATATTTGTTTAGCATATTAAGTAAATGTAACTAATCACAAATTTTCTATTTAAAAATTATTTGTGCTTCATGATTAATAAATTAGATATAAATATCAGAATATTCCAAGAGAAAATAAGGCTATACTGTATAAGTTTTATATGATTAAAAACTGTTTTTTCTTTGACGTCACTCATGTATTAGTATGTATTATATTTTAAGTTAACTGTAAGTTAACCGGATTATAAATATTAATATTAATCCGGGGTAGTTTCAAGAATATTGAACTCAGTGATATTTTCGTAATCATCATATCACATGATTATGCTCTCGGCCTAAGAAGTTAGGTTAGTGTTAGTGTTAAGGTTAGTTAGTTTAGGCCAATTTGTTAGTGCTAATAAACAAATAACGTCATTGTGTGATTTTACATGATGTGATGATCACTGAGTTCAGTGTTCTTGAAGTGCCCTGTACAAGGTTACACTTTATGCTCAATAGTACTAAAAATTCAATCTGCACAATGGGGTTTGATTAATGTGACATCTCTGTATTCAGGGGCCCTGTTCATGATTACTACTTGTAATTATCACCTATCGTAACAATGTCTATCAAAAATAATCACACAAAATATAAAATTTTAAGCGAAGTTATCTCAACGACCACCCATTCAAATTCAATGAATTACAGTATTTATTTTAATTCAATAAAACTGAAAATTAAATTAAAAATTTATTGATTTAGTTGGTAAAAAATGAAGTAACTCTATGAATTCTTGTTTATTTGGGCTAGAAAAAATTTTAATATATCCTCTAAAAGTCTTGTTATTGCGCAGTAATCATTTAGACCAAACTTTTCAAAATCAAGATGAGCACCATGAATTTACAAATAAAAAAATCTGTTAAATTTGATTAAGTGGTTGCTAAAGTAGCTTTGTTCAAGTTTTTTTAAAAATAGCCAAATGTTTATTAAATAGAAACTGAGTCAATTTTTTAAAACTTTGAGCAAAGTGAAGATATCTTGGTAACCACCTGATCAAGCTTGATGTTTTTTTTTAATTTGAATTCTATCAAACAAATAAAAAATTAATCAGGTAGTTGCTGAAATAAAATATCTTTGCTCAAAGTTTTAAGAAAAATTTAGCACAGTTTCTATTAAAATAAGCATTTTTTTAAAAAAAAAAAAAACTTTAAGCGATGATATCTTAGTAATCAACTGATCTAATACAATAAATTTTTTTATTTGAATTCTATAGATTCATAAAATTTAAATTAAAAAAATTTCGCCAATCGATTGCAATCAAACAATCGAGTATCGGTGATCTACAAATTTTAGTGTTCGAAAAAGTTAAATCAGATCGAATTTAGAAAACAGTAAATTTTGAATTTGGAACTCCTGGAATTCCAGTAATTCAAGAATTCAGAGGATTACTTGAATACTAGCAATTAGGCAAAAAAAGAGAATATGCAAATAATGATAATTACATTAATAAAGGTAGTTTTAGTTATAAGGCATATTCTATCATATAAAAATAGATAGTGAATTAATTATAAATAAAGGCCTTCTGGTTAGTGTTTGTAGTCGATTTTATGTTAGTCGATTTTATCAACTTAGCCGGCTTGGTCAGTCAATTTTTCATAAAATTGACTAAGCCGATTTAATATTAGATTATATTAAAAATCGTAATGACTAATTAAAATAGCCAAGATATAAAATCCTTTTTTAGTATGTGTCTAATATAACTGCCTTTAATATCTAATAAGACATTCAATTAGGTGAACTATTCGCATAACTCACATATATAATCAATATCAATATATAGCATAAACACATTTGTAAGTTCAAATTTTTGCGATACTCAATTATGTAACAAATCTTAATGTTTAATATGCATGTATATACATTTCTTAATCAAGGGAGTTATTAGTGTAATTACATACAAATTATAGTGCAGTTTGACATCGCAGCATGCCTGGGTAAAATTTTAATAATACTCATCTTCATCTTAAGAATTATTGTTTATGTATACGTGATACTTACTAGCAGTGAAAATAAATTAGTAATAATTTTCTACCAATTGGCAAAAAATTATGCAGGCTGGCCTGGGGAATGATTACATGTAAATCACAAAATACACAACAACATATGTGATAGCATAAATAATATTCAGAAATAAAATTTTCATACAATGAAATATATTTTTTTTTTTTTAATGTGAAACTCTTATGCGACTGGCTATTTATAATAATTGAAAGAACTCATTTATACTACGATCTATACAATTCTATTTAGTGAACACCCGTTATAGTGATAATTTAATGTAATAAAGAATATGAACTTCAGCTAGCATTGTTAATCGAACTAAGTAGATATATTTTCAATTGAAATTAGACATAACACCAATTTTAATTAGGTTTATGTCGAATTCTAATTGAAAATACATCAATTTAGTCTGATTGACAACACTAATTTCAACAATAAAATAAAATATTTTGAAATATACCAGATATTCTGGTTATAATTAATACCTTAGTTTCTCCCCATTGTTTGTTAATAGTATTTTTTGAGTGATGAAACATAAAATCATTAAAATAATTCCTTGTACTAAAAGTTTCCAGAATTTGAAGGTTGTTGCTGTCGAGTTTGAATGAATTCAAAAGCAGAAACAACAGCCAAATTCATGTATGCCAAGTTTGAATATCAGATATCTAATGCTGAACCTGTATATAGCATTCTCATGATAATCTAAAATGTAGTTCAGGGTATATAAAAATTTTTGCATACCTATGCTTTTGATAAAGAAACCTGCGCTAGTAAATATTATACTGTAGTAATTCTGCATTAATATAAACATATATAAAAAAAAAAGTATATAATATATCGAAATTTGTATTGATACTCTTACATGTAATCAAAAACCAATTTATATCAATTTTTGTATAATCCGTTCTTTAAAGATAAATAACGATCAATTGTCAGATAATATTACTAGTGAAGACAATATGTCATTTGAGTATGAAGAACTCTATAATTTTGATGAAAATTTTGTTAATAATGATGAAAATTATGACGAAAATGATATTGGTGATGAAAATGATACTTATATTAAAGATAATAATCGTGCTGATAAAGAGAATAGTATAGCTGGAACTTTGCCTATTATATCTTACTTCTCTTCTCGTGAAGTTTCTATAAAAACAAATTCAAACAAAAATATAATACAAAAAAAGAAAAGCAAGCCCAGTGTCAGTTGGGTATGGAAATATACTCATTGTGATAAAATAACCAAGATTAAATATTGTGATGTTTGTATAGATAATGATGATGGTACTTCTAAAAGGTGTTTAGCAATATTTATACCCAAAACATCAACAACAAATATTGCTGCACATTTACGTACCGAATATCGAATTTTTAAAAACCAAAAGTGGGAGGCACAGCCGTCCATATTATCAACCACAATTCCTACACCAACTACTCAACAAACAATTGAAATAGTGATACAAAATCATATGGAAAATACTTCACCTCTTCCTGAGCAATAGCAAAATCGTATTACCTATCGGCTTGTTGCTTGGATAGTTGAAGAAATGATGCCGTTAAATTGTATCAACCATGATCGGTTCCGAGACTTTTGTTATGAAATTAATAGATGGTTTGAAGTTCCTTGTAATAATACTATTAAAAATATAATTGTAGAATCAGTACTTTATACAAATGCAAATCTAAGTGAAATGATACGCCAAATAATGGTCTTTGTTTGCATTACTACTGATTTATGAACTCAAAACCATATCTCATATATTGGCATAACAGCCTATTGGCTTTTTAAACCTTTACAATATACCAGTTCTTAATCACAATCGAGCATTTCGCCTATCCACATATGGGAGATCAGATTGAAGATTTTTTGCGAGAAGTTCTTGCTAAATAGAATATATTTGATAAAGTTCAAGCAGTAACAACTGACAATGCACCGTCGATGATTAAAGCAATCAGGCAATTAGACACCACCCACCTTGGCTGTACAGCTCATACTATTCATCTCTTGATTACAGATAGTTTTAAAAAATGTGAACCTTTGATTGAATATGCAAAATCATTAAATAATTTTTTAGTAAATCGTGATAAATATTGATCACTATTTCAAAAAATTCAATGTGAAGTAATTGAAAAAAAAAAAATACAAATCCACTTACTACTGACATATGCATTTTAGAGCCTATATCAAGTGACACTGCCACTAGGTGGAATTCTACTTATCTAGTTCTTTAGCGGCTTCTAGAACTTCGAGAGTCTGTTTTGGAATTGGCTAAAAATTTAATAAATAACCCTAACTATACCGTTTGTGCTGATGGCAATAGTCTAAATGATAAGATGCTTTCTGATAAAGAATAGACAGGTAGAAATGGCAGTGATTTAAAATACAACATTTTATATTACTTTAATCTCTTTTTTTTTTTTTTATTACCTTTATAGACTTGGAAGAGTTATGTCAGACTTTACGGCCATTTGCAAGAGCATTAACGTTTGTAGGCGATGATTAATATCCAACATTGAGTATGATGTATCCTATGGTATGACCCCTTTTTAAAAGTTTAGATCAAATAAAAGATAAACTTATGAATATTGAAGTTATTGGAATGCACAAAAGTCTTCATGAATCAATGGTATCTCGATGGGATGATCCTAAAATAGTCAGATGGCTTTCTACATTCTTAGATCCCCGCTTCAAGACATTATCAGCCACCTTGCCCACAATGCAAAAAGAAGTAATTCAGGAGTTATATAAAAGAATTGAACTTTCACACCATACAAGTAACTTACCAACTACTGATAAAGTATCAGATATGGAAATGTCTTCTTTTTTTGATAATGGAATGGAACCTTCTTCTGTTTCTCCAATTAATACTGAACTTAAAATGTATATCTCAATTCTGCAAATCCCTAAATACAATTCATAAGATCTATGTTATGAGAAGTGTAATCCCCTAAGTTGGTGGAATGAGCATAAAAGTGCTTTACCTCTCCTTGCTGAGCAAGCATGAATTTTTCTTGGCATTCCAGCGACTTCTGTACCTTCAGAACATCTGTTTTCTGACGCTGGTAACACCATAACAGATAAATGCAATTGTCTGAGCACAGATACTGTTTATGACCTTTTGGAAAACTCAAAAATAATTAATGTGTATCCTGGCCTATAAGTTATGCGCAAGGATATTATTTGCATTAAATATTATCAAAATTAGACCTTTTTTTTATGTAGTACATAAATCTTATCGTTATATATTATATATATATATAATAAATATATATTATAAATAAAATTCTATATACTGTATGTACTACGTAGTGTTATATAATAAATGATCGGCCAATAATATTCAGTTAAAGTCACGTGTAATGCAATTAACCAATTAGGTTGATCGACCTCGACTTAGCCGGCTAAGTCATTTTTTAAATATTGACTTAGTCAAGTCGATAAAAAAGGGTCGACTACAAACACTACCTGTACTGTATACCGTATCATACCGTAAATAAGCACTACACCCTCACTTTTTAGCGGAAATCGCAATGAAGGTCTTTAGCCAAATTATTACCGCTAATCTGATATTTAAAAAAGTGGGGTAGAAGGTGTAGTGCTTATTCACGGTAGAATACGGTATACATAATACATAATTTCATATTTAGTATCAGTATTAATGATTATAATTGGCCGACTGACAAAACTACCAGTCAGCTAAGAAGCTAAATGGCTAAACGGCATGCTAAATTAGCTCGGAACACTATAAAACAATTATTGCATGACAATCATGCATTTTGACTGGTTAATCACCTACTGCCTAAGTATTAAATAAATTTTTTTTTTTTGATTTAAAAAATTTTTATTAAAAATTTTTTTAAAACTACTGTATATATTTTAACTTATACAGTATATACAGTATAAAATACAGTAAACTTTTTTACCTTATAATATACTTGTACATCAAAATAGCAAAAAAATAATTCTTATTTTTTAAATATTTTTTATTTAAATATTTTAAATACCCAAATCATTTAAACTAGGTTGCGTTAACATAATTTGTACAAAAATATTAGATTAGAATAGCTTGAAGCGGAACTGGCAAATTTAAACATAATTTGTAATTTTTATTAGAAGATAGCTAATAGACATTAAAGATCACATTGGGTATCTACATAAATTGCGATCGTAGAGTTATGGACCTTGATTCACATAACTTGGGTCTGCCGCAGCAGAAAATAGCCAAGTATAAATCAAATTTCGATCACGTGAAGTGTAAAATACTTCAGTACTTGCAAAGATAACCTCAAAAATTTCTATAAAAATTTTTTTTCAAAAGTGGTACGACAAAAGTTATAAGAGCCAGAAAATTTGCTTTGTATGGCTTAAATAAATATATTTGAAACTATTCTATTTTAGCGCAAATGAATAAAAAATATTTTTATAAAAAAGATACGGTTAAAGTGTATGGGGACCTAGCTCAGTGGTAGAGCAATCGACTGCAGATCGATAGGTCACTGGTTCAATCCCGGTGGTCCCCTTTAATAATGTATTTATTTTTCTTGTTTTTTTTTTTTTTTTTTTATTCACGTTACAATTTTTTTATTTTTGTTTTTTTTGTATTTTTATAATACAGTAAATAAGACACATTTTCGGTCTATTTTGGGAACGTTAAGCTATACGTAGCACTCTAAAAAGAAAAAAATAATGGAAAGGACAAATAGACGATATACACCTCAAGGATCTTCTTCCTATCAACCTTTCTCTCAACAACTTCCTGTGTCTTTTCGTTTACCACCAGCCCCAGTTCACGCTCGTGCTAGTAAGACAGTTTTAGGAAGCACAGAGATTGTTCAAAAAACTAGTATAGGCAACGCATTTGTCAATAATGATCCGTTTATTCCTTTAAATCCGTTAACAGTTGAAGAAATTAGGGTGTTTGAGGATAAAAAGGCAGCTGAAAACAATGCAAGAAAGAGGCGGAGAAGTTCAGATTATGATAAATGGAAGCGTCCAAACAGTCAAGAGATTCCTTGGCTAAGAAACGAATGTAGTATTAAATATACAAGTGTGGTTCAAAGATTGCATTATGAAATTCTAGAATTTGTTGAATATCTTATGCCAACAGATTTAGAGCGTTTATTTCGTGCCTTTGTAATAAAACGTATTCAGAAGGCCATCAGAGCTGTTTATCCAACTGCAGAAGTAATGGCATTTGGTAGTTATAATACGGGTCTTTATCTTCCAACAAGTGATATTGATCTAGTATGTTTTATACAACAAAGGAATCCACTGAGGGAGATTGTAGCGATATTAAATAAAAATAATATTTGCGAAGGTAGACCTATTCCAATTGCAAATGCAGTGGTGAGTAAAGGAAAAAAAAATTTTTTTTTTTTTGATCGATAAGATTAGAGTATTCACCTTATATTTATTTATTTATTTTATTAGGTTCCAATTATCAAATTAAAAGAGAAATATACAAGATATAATGTTGATATATCTTTCAATCAAGCTTCTGGATTTGGTTCTGCCGCCACGATGAAACGTTTCATGAGAGAATGGCCCTCACTTAGTAAACTGGTAGTTACTTTAAAATATTTTTTACATCATCATGAACTTGACGATCCTGCATGCGGAGGGATGGGCGGATATACTGTCTTTTGTATGATTCTTAGTTTCCTACAGGTAAATTCTGTGTTTGGTTTTTAACAGTAAATTTATGTGGCAAACTACTTAATGCAACTTCCATGTTTTATAGCTGCATCCTGAAATTCAAAAAGGTGTAGTTGTCCCTGAAGACGAAAATCTTGGCGTATTGCTGATTGAATTTTTCGAACTTTATGGCGTTAATTACAATTATGAAGAACTTGCTATACGTGTTGCAAAGGATAAAAAAAGATCTGGATCAAACATAGGGTATTGTCGAAAGAGATATGAAGACTGGGCTACGAAGGATCCAATTACAAACATTTGTATACAAGATCCATCAGATTCCACAAATGACATAGCACGATCTACGAAAAATATGCGCATAATTCAGGACGAATTCCGGCGAGCATTCCAACGCCTGGTTACTCGGGTCGGCTACTTGGATAGTTGTACGCCCCGCGATGAAGATGGTGCATTTAAAGACTTGCAAAATTTTTCAATATTATCTTCTATTGTTTACATTAATTCTGATGTCAGAAAGCGTCGAGATCAACTTTGCAAGGATTATAGAAATGGGGACCTTGGCACTGTAATGGCCTCGTGTGGAACAGACCTACGGCACCGGGATGTTGATGATATCATAGGCATGTTCAAGCTTGAAATTGCAGAGGCCGATCGTTTAAAAAGCTATAAATTTGCACGGATAAAAAATCATAATGGTAGGCGTTATACTCCACCATCTCCATCAATCAGACGTGAAAGATCACCAGTTTATAACTACCGCACCTCAACTAGTATTGAGCAAATTTATGTTGAAGATAATTCGGATATGGAAATGTCCGATGAATATATTTCCGATTATACTTCAAATGACAGAAAGCTCAAAAACGGTATTAGTGATTCCAATGGGAAAAAAAAATCGAACAAAAGGCATAGGCGGGATAGAGGGGATTAAAGCTAGGTCAGTATTGAAATTTATTGCTTATGTTCTATTTTCTTACATACATTGGATTAGATCTAGGATTCAAAATCAGGTTAATTGTTCGTTAGAATTTTGCGTATTTATGGGTCATCAAATAAATAATTTCGCTGAAAAAGCAATTTTAATTGGCAGTTATCTGTTATAGTAATATTCAACACATGAAAGCAAGTTTTATCTGAAAGTATAGTCAAAAAAAAAAAAAAAAAGAGCTGTTTATATCGGATTTTGTATCGTTAGCTAGAAAATTCATCCTTCAAATGTTTTGTTACTAATTTAAATATGTACACAAAGTTATAGACAACTAAAAAATTATTGAACATTTCATAAAAATTGAACTACTGCAAATATTGTTTATAATTACAATTACAGTCTAACTTCGCTATACGGTAGCCACTCTTGATGTAATCGAGAATAAGGACAGTACCATAGCCATGGCGAAGAAATGTCTTCCCAGCACCGCCACCAAAATGACTACCCAAGAGCACCCGAAGATTTCTGCGCATGCCAATCAGATTTCAAGATCGGTTGTAACATGAAAATAAAGCGTGGTATTCAAAGTAATAGAATCTTAAGGTCGGAACGAAATTAGTTATAATCAAAATTTTCATGATTTTTTTTTTTGTTGAAAAGTTTCGCATGCAAAGTATTGCAGTATTAAGTTACGGAAAATCATAAGTTATCAGGTAGGCTTGTCTGTTTATTTGGTCGAGGACCTTCAAAGAAATTGAATTCAATTTTATAGGTTGATCTTAAATCTTTGACCAAATAAATGAGTTATAAGACAGTATCAATATAACTAATAACGGATTTACCCGACTGATTACAATTTATCTGCTAAATGATTATTATTCGGCAGAAACAATATTATTATTAAAAGTAATAAAAAAAAAATTTAATTACAAGTAACTTTCGATATAAGAAACTTTTGATAATTGAAAATTTTTCTGTTAGGGTTTACGATAAATGCTATAAATATTGGTTAAATAAACCAATATATACAGGGGAATGATATTTGTACCCCAAATTTGATATTCATATACCCCATACAAATTAAAGTTTTTTTGAACTTTAAGCGAAGATATCTCGACAACCACTAAGTCAAATTCGATAAACATTTTTATTTGAATCGTAGAATTCAAATAAAAAAAAGTTCATCAAATTTGGCCTGATGTTAGCTGAGATATATTTGCCCAAAGTCTTAAAAAACTCAAACAACAGAACTGCGTTAAATTTTTTTTTTATCAGATATCTCGGTAATCACCAAGCCAAGTTCGATGAACTTTTTTTATTTGAATTCTACGAATCTGTAAGGTTCAAATAAAAAAATGCTCATCGAATTTGGCCTGGTGGTTGTCAATATAGCTTCGTTCAAAGTTTTAAAAAACTCAACGCCTATAGAAATAGAAGTTGTGCCAAAATTTTTTCCAATGTTTGAATGAAGGTATCTTAACAACCACTAGGTCAAATCCGATAAACTTTTTTATTTGAATCTTACAGATTCGTAGAATTCAAATAAAAAAAAGTTCATCGAATTTGACTTGGTGGTTGTCAAAATATCTTCACTCAAAGTATAAAAAACATCTTGGCGCAGCTTCTGGTTTATTGGTTAATTGAATAAAAAATGCGCGGCAAATCCTCGGTTTGATTGGCTAAGAGCGACGATCAAAAAATTAGGCCGGAATTACTCATAATTTTACTAATGAAATTGCAGCCGCCTATTAAATGAAAATTGTTCCTGGGCCAATTTTACTATAATGCGGGCTTGTTTTTTAAAAATTTCTATTTTTGTAATGAAAAAATTAAAAAGTTAATTCCGGCCGGAAATTAGTAAACAATTATGTA